CTAGATTATTGACTCTAGTGCAAGTGGGAGACTGAAGGAAATATGCCCTAGAGGCAATAATAAAGTTATTATTTATTTCCTCATATCATGATAAATGTTTATTATTCATGCTAGAATTGTATTAACCGGAAACATGATACATGTGTGAATACATAGACAAACATATAGTCACTAGTATGCCTCTACTTGACTAGCTCATTAATCAAAGATGGTTATGTTTCCTAACCATTGACATGTGTTGTCATTTGATTAATGGGATCACATCATTAGGAGAATGAGGTGATTGACATGACCCATCCCGTTAGCTTAACACTTGATCGTTTAGTATTCTGCTATTGCTTCCTTCATGACTTATACATGTTCCTGTAACTATGAGAATTGTGTAACTCCCGTTTACCGGAGGAACACTTTGGGTACTACCAAACGTCACAACGTAACTAGGTGATTATAAAGGAGTACTACAGGTGTCTCCGAAGGTACATGTTGAGTTAGCATAATTCGAGATTAGGTTTTGTCACTCCGATTGTCGGAAAGGTATCTCTGGGCCCTCTCGGCAATGCTCATCACCTAAGCCTTGCAAGCATGTAACTAATGAGTTAGTTATAAGATGAAGTATTACAGAACGAGTAAAGAGACTTGTCGATAACGAGATTGAACTAGGTATTGGATACCGACGATCGAATCTCGGACAAGTAACATACCGATGACAAAGGGAACAACGTATGTTGTTATGCGGTTTGACCGATAAAGATCTTCGTAGAATATGTAGGAACCAATATGGGCATCCAGGTCCCGCTATTGGTTATTGACCAGAGATGTGTCTCAGTCATGTCTACATCGTTCTCGAACCGTAGGGTCCGCACGCTTAAGGTTTCGATGACAGTTATATTATGAGTTTATGTATTTTGATGTACCGAAGGTTGTTCAGAGTCCCGGATATGATTACTGACATGACGAGGAGTCTCGAAATGGTCGAGACATAAAGATTGATATATTGGACGGATATATTTGGACACCGGAAAGGTTCCGGAGAAGTTTGGAGCCCCGGGAGGTTACCGGAACCCCCCGGGAGGTATATGGGCCTTATTGGGCCCATGTAGGAGGAAGAGAGAAGGAGCAAGGGAAGGGGGCGCGCCCCCCCAAGCCCAATCCGAATTGGGGAGGGGGGCCGGCCCCCCCTTTCCTTTCTCCTTCCCCCTCTTCCTATTACTACTACTAGTACTACTTCCTAATACTAGTACTCTTTCCTTCCCCCTCCAAATAAGATAAGGAAAAGAGAGGGAAACCTACTTGGAGTAGGTTTCCCCCTCCTCATGGCGCGCCCCCCTAGGGCCGGCCACCTCCTCCCTCCCTCCTTTATATACGGGGGTAGGGGGCACCCTAGAACACACAAGTTGATCATTGATCGTTCCTTAGCCGTGTGCGGTGCCCCCCTCCACGATATTACACCTCGGTCATATTGTAGCGGTGCTTAGGCGAAGCCCTGCAACAGGAGAACATCAAGATCGTCACCACGCCGTCGTGCTGACGGAACTCCCCCTCGGCGCCTCTGCTGGATCGGAGATCGAGGGTGCGTCATCGAGCTGTACGCGTGTCAAGAACTCGGAGGTGCCGGAGTAACGGTACTTGGATCGGTTGAACCGGAGGACGTACGACTACTTCCTCTACGTTGCGTCAACGCTTCCGCTTCGGTCTACGAGGGTACGTAGACAACACTCTCCCCTCGTTGCTATATCATCACCATGATCTTGCGTGTGCGTAGGAATTTTTTTGAAATTACTACGTTCCCCAACAGTGCGCCCCGTCGGAGCTGCCCCCGTCCCTACTGCACCCCTGGCCAGGGTCGCCAACGTGCGGTGGTGGGTTGGACGGGCCGGCCTCGTTCTCCTCGTCGTTGTCGAAGACGATGCCGCCACCCTCCTCGCGTCCGGCGTGGCGCCACCCTCCTCGCGTCTGCGCCGCCGGGCCTTGCGGCGGCGCCGGGCCTGGAGCTCCTTGTACGCCCGACGTTGGCGGAGCACCTCCTTGCGGACGTAGTCCTCCTTCACCCACTTGAAGACGACCTCGTCGTCGCGGGCCACCATGGCCGCGTGCTCCGGCTTCACGGGGAGCAGCCCCAGCTCGGGCTTTGGCCGGACCAGGTGGAGGGAGCGCGGGAAGGGGCTCGCGCCCTCGTTGATGACGAGGGCGCTGCTACGGGTGCGACGTCGGAGCGGCATCCCTTCTGGCTCCGGCTTGACGGGGCGCAACCCCGACTCGAGCTTCGGCCGGACCAGGCGGAGGGAGCGCGGGGAGGGGCTGGCGCCCTCGTTGATGACGAGGGCGCCGCTACGTGTGCGGCGTCGGAGCAGCATCCCTTCCGGCTCCGGCTTGACGGGGCGGAGCGCCGGCGAGCCCGAGGAGAGTGAGCCGGAGCCCGACGAGGAGGACGCGGACACAACTTCGGTGCCTTAAAGGCACCTGCCTTTGGGTCATTGACATGTGGGCCAGCCACCTGTTGGGCCCACATGTCATAGACACAAAGGCACGTGCCTTAAGGCACCGAAGCATTGTCCGGAGGACGCCCCCGGCTCCATTCGCCGTGGCGTCCAGGAGCTGCCACGACGGCGAGAGAAGGACGGCCGCGGCGGATACTCAAGGCGCGGCGTGTTGCCGGTCTCGATGTGGTCGAGGATGGCCTCGAGGGTGCGGCCGAGCACGCCCCACCACTCGCGCCACCCGTCGGCGTTATGGCATCCGCGGGGGATGATGTCGTTGGCGCAGGCGATCTGCTCTGCACGGTGGTGCTCAAAAAACATCGTCCATGGTGTGTGGCTGTCGGCAGCGTACCTCGACTCGTTCCGTTGCGCCTCCGTCAGCGACGAGCGGATGCGGGCGATCTCGGCCCACCGTGCAGCCTCTTCGTGCACCAGTGGCACCGAGACGCTGCCGTCGCTCAACTTCTACGCCCCCGACACACGCATGTTTGGGGGCGCCGGATATTCGGCCTCGTAGAGGAGGCGCACATCCGTATCTTCGAGATGGCGGCGGCCGAAGCCGTTCGCCGCCGCGCCGTCGCTTGGGTACCTCTCAGCCATTGCTCGTCGGCGTGAAAAGGGGAATGTGTTGCTTTGTGTGCCGATGGGAGGCGAATGTGTGGCTGCCCGATGGGGAGATCGACTTTTATAGCCGCAGCGGGGCGGCGAGAGCCTACATGCCGGGTGACGCGTGGCGGGAGCAGGTGGGACGCGCGTCGGTGGCGCCTTCACTGCGCCGCCCGTGAGGCATCAATGAAGATTGACCAGCGGCAGCACGGCAGCCTTGGCATTGGTTCCCGCGGTAACCGAGGTAGTGAGGACGACGAAACGACGTCTCGCTGACTCGGCGGACCCATCCCCTTTCGCGCCAAAAACGCGTCCCCCAGCGTCCCCAGACGCCCCCCAGCGCACCGGGTTCGGCCTAGGTCCGCCGGCGCAAGTTTCGGCCCAAACCGACAAAAAACGGGCTCATGAGACGCGGCTGGGCCGATTTTCGGCCGCCGACGTCAAAAAAACACCTGGGGGGCTTCTTGTGGGCGCGGTCGGAGATGCTCTAAGTATTTTTCTGATAATCCGGCATCGACTTGCATTCATCGCAAACACTTTAAAATAACATCAAATTTAGATCTAATGCAAGTATGGGTGCTCATTTACCATTCGATATTTCTTTACCGTTCCATTTTATTTCTATTTTTTTATAGCAAAAACAAAAGGGGAAAGACACGAAATCTCCGGCACAGCTCCACATTATTACGCACACTACGAGGGACCCGGGCGCAAAACCCACGCGGCGGAGCGGAGGCCCGAAACTCGGCCACGGCACCGGGGCCGTTTCCTACGGGCGGCGTGCCTTTTCTAGCATGGACGCGTATAAAGCACCACCCAGGCAACCAACGCCTTTACGCCATCCGCCGTATTCCTTCCTTCGTCTCGCCGCAGTCCACCTCGCTTCATCCGCCGAGCAGAGCCCTCCAGACGCCATCCACGCTCCCGTGAACAGGTGACGCTCCCCTCCCACCCCCTGCTCCCCCCCTCGATCCGTTTGATCTGAAACCCAAATCTGTCGAGTTCCACTCCCCCCTCAGGTAGATCGCCTCGCTAGCTTCTGTTTTGATCGGTGAACCTCAAGTTCTTTTCGGTTTCTTGTGCTGTGGGCGAATTTTGCTGCTCGGTGGTTGGGTGATCCCTTCCGGAGCATGGAATTTTTCCGGGGTGAGTGGATGATCTGAGGATGTGTTTATCGCGCGGGCTCCCTGGTGTTGCTGGAGATAATTGCGAACTGTTCATTTTGCTTTTGTGGGGTTTTTTTCCCCTTGCCTCGAAATGTTTTTCGTCTTGTAGACGGTGCGCGGATTCTAGTGCCGTGCCGTGACAATATCTTCAGTTAGCACTAGCGAGACAGCAAGGCGAATTATACTGTTTTTTAATGCTTCCATGCTTAATCTATGTGTGGCCCGTGATGTCATGATAAGTGCGATTCACTTTAGAAATTGGGATCGGGAAAGACTAAGAGCCCAAGTTTGTCTTACTCTGCATTATTGATTGATAATTTAGCCGCGGCATGCCAACTTCGATTAGGTGCATGTTTGGGGTTTTGCTTGGCTATCCGCCTCAGGAATTAGGCCAGCCAGTGTTGTTATAAATTCTTAATAAAAGGGTGTATGGAAGAAAAACTTTCAACCAACCAAAATACTGAATTCTTTAACACGTTATTATGCTTAAAAAATTAATGTCATGTTTCTAAATTGATGCTTGGATTGTTGAAAATGTAGTTGCATATAATCAGATGGTGTTCCTCAATTGCTTTATCCCACCAGATGACAGATACATGTGTGCCTTTGTCACTTTCAGGCACTCTGAACCGCTGATATTATGGGTTTACTTGCTTTTGTATGGAAGCATTTCTGACAGTTTAGGTGTTTATACAGAAACTTGCTCTTATACCAATCTACCATTGCAGATTTCTTACAGGAAACTTGACAAATGGCTGATGAGGATGTTCAACCTATCGTGTGCGATAACGGCACTGGAATGGTCAAGGTTGTTATTCAGCACAAGATCCTTTGAACATTAAAAAATAACATGCTCTCCCAAACTAACTGATCACATTCCTGATGTTTGGCAGGCTGGTTTTGCCGGTGATGATGCACCCAGGGCTGTCTTTCCTAGCATTGTAGGAAGGCCACGCCATACCGGTGTCATGGTTGGTATGGGCCAAAAGGATGCCTATGTGGGCGATGAAGCTCAAGCAAAGAGAGGTATCCTGACTTTGAAGTACCCCATTGAACATGGCATTGTCAACAACTGGGATGACATGGAGAAAATATGGCATCACACGTTCTACAACGAGCTCCGTGTCGCACCAGAGGATCATCCTGTGTTGCTGACTGAGGCCCCTCTCAACCCCAAGGCCAACAGAGAGAAAATGACCCAGATCATGTTCGAAACCTTCAGTTGCCCAGCAATGTATGTCGCAATCCAGGCCGTTCTGTCCTTGTATGCCAGCGGTCGAACAACTGGTATGTCTGCCGCCTTGTTTGAAACAGTTTTTTTTTTTGAAAGGAAAACTTACTCCATTACACATACGGGCCAACAAAATCGCTGGCAACCGCTTCAGTTACAAAGTTTGGTACATCTGACAACCACATACATATATCTGGCTCAACCAAACTCGCGCCAAATGACGCTAGCTTATGGGCAGCTACATTACAGGACCTGGGACACCAATTGATAAAAGCAGACTGAAAATAGTACAAGAGTTTAAACTTTGCTTCTCGAAACAGGGCACCGAAAACTGAATTATCGTAGGCGTCTCCGTCAATAGCCAATGCATCCGTTTCGAAGATTACATTCCTGCATCCCAACTCACTTGCTCTCTCCACGGCATATAACAGGGCAATTGTTTCTGCTTGAATTGCCTCAGAGAGTCTTGACAATCTCCCTGCCCCTGCTGCTTCTACTCCTCCTTCAGAGTTTCTGATAATGAAACCCCATCCTCCCTTCTTTGTGTCCTTTGTGAAGGCTCCGTCTATATTTATCTTTAGATAATTTTCCTCTGGCGGTTTCCAACAACTATCCTTGGTCGTTGTTTTTTTAGTACATTTCCTCTTAAAAAACTCGTCAGATTCTCTATCATGCTTTTCGAGGGATTCTAGAATTTCAGTTGTACTTCTTATAGCCTCTCCTTTATTAGCTTTATTTCTCTCGTGCCACCAAAGCCACATAAGAATACTTGCTCTTGCACTCTTCCTCTGATCAAGCTCAAAAATTCGAATGAGCACATCTTTCGGACTACAACAAATGCTAAGATTTTCCCTTATATCCTCCATTTGAGCCGCCCTCCATATGTGCTTCACTGGTTTGCATTTGAAGAAGGTGTGCCCTCCATCCTCATCAGTACGTAAGCATACTGGGCACCATGGGTCTGCTTTAACTCCTCGCTGAATTAGTTTTTGTCTCAATGGCAGACTGTTTCTTGCCATTCTCCATAAAAAGTGCAAGATTTTTGTCGGTAGCGGAAGCCTCCATATTTTCTCCCACTCAAAGGGTAAGTGGTCAGCTGTTGTGCCAGATGCAGAAGCAATACCATGGATAGACTTCCTTGCATCTGTTTCAATGGCCACTCGATAAGCTGATTTCACAGAGAATAAGCCCCTTTTATCAAAGTGCCATGCAAGCCAGTCCTCGTTGCCTTCGCTGATTGGTATTTGCAGAATTTCCTCTGCATCTTTCTCATTAAACGTTTGTTTTATTAGGTCTTCATCCCAATCACCATCTACTGGGTTAATTAGTTCTGAGACTTTGTGGAGGATGACATTCCTTCTTTGGGGAGTGGCTGGTTTTCTACTCTTACCTCGTGGGATCCATGGGTCATTCCATATGTTCACCTTCTCACCATTGCCTATTCTCCAGATTACACCTTCTCTTAGCAGTGAACTCCTTTAAGGATGCTTCTCCACGAATAAGACATGCCATCCTTTGGCACTGCTCTAATAATCTGACCTGATGGGTAGTATTTCGCAGATAGAACTCTAGCGCAAAGAGAGTTGGGCGCATTTGCTAACCTCCATGCTTGCCTCGCTAACATGGCTCTGTTAAACACATGGAGATCCCTGAAACCTAGATCTCCATCCTTCTTTGGCAGCATCATATGTTCCCGACTAACCCAATGGATTTTATGTTCTTTGTCCATATTACTCCATCAGTATCTGCAGATCATCTCACTAATCTGGTTACATAAAGTCTTGGTCAGATCAAAACATGCCATTGCAAAGACCGGGACTGCTTGGGCTACGGCCTTTATTAGAATCTCTTTACCCGCCGTTGAGAGCATTTTTTCTTTCCATCCTTGAACTTTCCTCCAAATTTTGTCTTTGAGGTAGGCAAATGCCTTTTCTTTTGATCTTCCTATGTACACTGGCAGCCCTAAATACTTCTCTGTTCTTGCCTCCCTTGTAATATGCAATGCTGACATGATCATATTCTTCTGCTGATGCTGGGTATTCTTGCTAAACATTATGGCAGATTTCTCCTTATTGATTACTTGACCTGAGCAACCAGCATATGTCTCCAGGATATGATTTATCTCTATTGCAGTCCTATTTTCAGCTTTGAAGAGCAGTAAAGAATCATCTGCAAAGAGGAGATGATTAATGCTTGGAGCTCTTTTGCATACTTTGATGCCTATTATTTTTCCACGTTCCTCCGCTTTCTGCAGCATTGATGAGAGGCCCTCAGAACAAATAAGAAATAAATATGGAGATAGAGGGTCTCCTTGTCGGAGACCTCTCCCTGGGATGATTACATTCGTAGTATCATTATTCACCTTTATTTGATAACGAACCGTGGTGACGCAGTTCATAATGAGCTTGACCCAAGAAGAGTTAAACCCCATCTTTATCATCATGTCCCTCAAGAAACTCCATTCAACTCGATCGTACGCCTTGCTCATGTCGAGTTTGAGTGCTGCAAAGCTGGCTTTCCCTCTTCTTTTATTCTTTAGTCTTGTTTGAAACAGTTGCCGCTGAAGTTCACTGGATAGGGTGGTTGACAACTTTTTCTTTCTGCAGGTATTGTGCTCGACTCTGGTGATGGTGTGAGCCACACTGTTCCAATCTATGAGGGATACACGCTTCCTCATGCTATCCTTCGTTTGGACCTTGCTGGCCGTGACCTCACGGATAATCTAATGAAGATCCTCACAGAAAGAGGGTACTCCCTCACAACAACCGCTGAGCGGGAAATTGTCAGAGACATAAAGGAGAAGCTTGCTTACGTGGCCCTTGATTATGAGCAGGAGCTGGAAACGGCTAGGAGCAGCTCCTCTGTGGAGAAGAGCTATGAGATGCCTGATGGTCAGGTTATAACAATTGGTTCAGAAAGGTTCAGGTGCCCTGAGGTGCTATTCCAGCCATCTCATGTTGGTATGGAAGTTCCTGGTATACACGAAGCGACATACAATTCCATCATGAAGTGTGATGTTGATATCAGAAAGGATCTGTATGGTAATGTTGTTCTCAGTGGAGGTTCTACCATGTTTCCTGGAATTGCTGATCGCATGAGCAAGGAGATCACGGCCCTTGCTCCTAGCAGTATGAAGGTTAAAGTTATTGCACCACCTGAAAGGAAATACAGTGTCTGGATCGGTGGCTCTATTTTGGCCTCTCTTAGCACTTTCCAGCAGGTTAGTATATTTCCCCCTCTCAGTGGAAGTTGCATATACATTACTCCTATCTTTGCTCAACAATTTTTTATAGCGCTCTTCGGGGTAATTTTTTCTCAGCATGTTCAACTTTCAATTGACTTAGAATCCTTATTCATGATCCACTTTCAGTTTGGGTTGGTAGGGTATGCATTAACTATTTTAGAGAATTCAATCTGAATATACATTTAATTCATGTTTTTAAGAAATTGCCATATAATATTCTAATTAACATAGATGGTCATATCCTCTGCTTGAACTTTTAGATATTTCTAGTATGCCATTTTACCAGAATATGAAAAAAATAGTACTCCCTCTGTTCATAAATATAGTATGTTCTAACTTTTCTGATGTATATAGACACATTTTAGTGTGTTTGTTCACTCATTTTAGTCCGTATATACTCCATATTGAAATGTCCAAAACATTTTTATTTTCTTCTCCTACGTATAGTGTTGGTCTTATATGACGTTGCTATTTGTCGAAGTGCTTTTGTGTGCATGTGTTGGTGTTGGTTGTGTGCATCCTAGCTATGCAGAGGCCTGTTGTGCATGCTCAATGTGTTTGTATCGTCTGGATGGTTCATTTTGAGCAAATGAAATTTATCATTTATTGAAAATCTTATACTCCCTCCGTTCCAAAATAAGTGTCTCAACTGTACTAAGCTTGAGACAGTTATTTTGGGACAGAGGGAGTATTTGTGAACGGAGGGACCGAGGGAGTATCTTCCAAGAGGTTATGAAATCTGTAATATGTTATGATTGCCTTTGCAACCAAAGAATAGGCCAGTAGCTCGTGGAGGGGAGGCTGTTTAAGAAGTGCTTCTAGGACCAGATCCGGTGCGTTGTTCCGAATCGATTCTTAACATCAATTTGTTCCTAATGGCAGATGTGGATCTCCAAGGCAGAGTACGACGAGTCTGGTCCCGGCATTGTCCACATGAAGTGCTTCTGAAGAGTCGGGGAAGGTTGTTTACAAAGGGGACTTTGCTGCCAAGAATATATAGTAGTACATGGTACATGGTTAGTGTTCTGTAGAAGATGTGTACCCTCAGAGGAATAAGGGGTACAGGAAAATCAGTCTCGGTTCAGCTTTTCCTTTTGGCACAATTGCATGGCCTTGCATGGTGCTTGCCTGCTGTATGAAATAATGAAATGGAACATATGTGTATGCCTAAGCGACATTGTGTGGTACGCCATACTCGTGGCCCTGGTTGAAATCGTAGTGACACTGAAACTATGCTGCCAGAGAAGGCCTGCTGCCCCCTCGCAGCCAGACTAGACGACCGCCAAGGGCGCGTGCACATCTGAACCCAGCCTGACTTTGAAAAAACAGCCTCATATGCGACATATGCAAGTTGTTTGGTTGCCTGCACATAGGCTTTCTGCATTAGGGGATCAACTTTGGCACGTTGTTTGTTTGCCTGCATTGTCTCGGCTTACAACTTGCCTGCATTGTCTCGACATACAACTACACGTTGTTTGGTTGCCCGCATGGGGTGTGATTAAGAGCTAGCACTTGCACTTAGCACACATGATTAAGAGCTAGGAGAGAAAGGGGGAGAAGAAATGCAGTATGTGCCGAACCATGGCGACCGCGGAGGATAGTGGTCGTGGCGCCGGACCATGGCGACTGCGGAGGATAGTGGTCGTGGCGCCGGACCATGGCGACTGCGGTTGATAGTGGTTGTGACGTCGTGTCCGACATGACGAGTATGGAGTCATGGACGAGCGACCCCGTCGGCGGCACGGCGAGCGACACCGTCGGCAAACTAGTTGCGGTGCTCGCGCAAAGACAGTCGACAGAGGAGGAGAATGCAGTGCTCGCGCCATGGTACCGTCAGTGCAGTGGACGAGAGAGGAGGCCGAGATGATCGACGCCGAAAACGACTCCAGTGTAGTAGGGCGAGAGTGAGGAGGCCAAGATGATCGACTCCGTCAGCGGCGTGGCGAACTGCAGAGTGCATGGAGGCAGGGGATACAAGAAAGTAGTGTACACGCCATTGCAGCGCCAATGCAGTAGCAGGAGGACAGAAAGTAGGCCGAGATGAGTGACGTCAGAAACGACTCTGGTATAGTAGGACGTGGGCAAGGAAATCAACGGGAAGGGCTTCGCCGTCGAGAGGGACGAATAGGAGGGCTCTGAGCAGAGGACATATGAGCTTGACATGGCGGCATCAGTGCAATTGACTGCTGTTTAAAGAGAGATAAAGCTACGATCGTCGAAACCCAAAACTTACAACATGAATGTTGTGAGGAACTGCGAGATTAGGCTGCTGGTTAAAGGAAATTTCAAATGATCGATCGTGCGCGATGAATCTGACAAAATTCATCCAGAATAGCTCCAAACGAAAAGAAGAAATTAAAAACTTACGACTGACGAAACTACGAACCGATCGCCTTAATAGAGCCGTAGCATCGAGGTGCATTTTTTCGTGTGGAGCTTACCTCGAATCGAAGCACCGTTGTGTAGATCAGAGGGAGGAGATTAGATAGGAGCTTACTAGAGGTTGAAGAAGACCTCACCTAATCACCTCGCATCCCTCCCGTCTCCACTCGTGCAAGGGTCCGCTCGCTTGCGCTCGGCTCAGCCTGACTCGTGAGAAACTGCTGATTCGATCATTTCCAGCGAGCCAGGCTTTGGACTGTTTTAAGAAGCGTGCGATGCAGGCCCAACAATGAAACGAGACAACCAAATAGGCGTCTTCCTTCCCGCGCGGGTCTGGTTGAGCTCGATACTGGCAACCAAACATGTCCCAAGTGCCACAGGGCTACCGGCGGTGGGCGCAGAAAGATCGGGCGGGGAAAACGAGGTTTGAACCCCACGACTTCTGGCGCGATGTACTTCCTCACTCCCAATTGGTTCATAGATTCCGGATTTTTAGCTCGTATCTACTGGAAGACTAGGACTCCAATCTATCCCCCGTTAAGCCGCCCTATTCTATTATCAGACAAAATGGAGAGAAGCCCATCTAATAGAAATGGCATTCACTTCTTACTTCCTTTTAGTCCTATATTATCATGAGACCATTCACTTCTTGCTTCCTTTTGGTCCTATATTATTACGAGACAAAATGGAGATGAACTCATCCGCTAGAAATGATATTCGCTTCGCCCTTCCTTTTGGTGTTTAGGATGTGAAGTTGATATAGGAAAGAGGAACTGTGCTAATGGATTATTTCATCTTGTGATGGGCTCAGTCTATCCCCCATTTGAGCCGCCCTATTCTATTATCAGACAAAATGAAAAGAAGCTCATATGATAGAAATGTTATTCACTTCTTCCTTCCTTCCTTTTGGTCCTATATTATTACGAGACAAAATGGAGATGAACTCGTCCGCTAGAAATGTTATTCGCTTCGCCCTTCCTTTTGGTGTTTATATATGAAGTTGATATAAAAAGAGAGGAAAGAGGAACTGCTAATGGATAATTTCATCATGGTGATGGGCTATTCCAATGGGCATGCATTAGAGATATGGACTTTTAGCATACGAACGTCCATCTTTACAATAGTTGTGACCAGGTGGCTCGTCACTGGTCGAGTGAGGCGCGGGGAGTGGGGAGCCGCGGTGGGTGGCGGAGGAGGTTCTCACCGTCCGTAGGGGGTGTCGTCGATGTTGCCAAGCCGTTGTGGCAGTTGAGGTTCATCTCGTCTACTGCTCATGTCATGCGGTGTATGTACTCGTTTTTCTTATTCTTTCCAAAAAGGATTTCCTTTTTACTCCGGTTGCCTTCGTGTCCTATTCATTTTCATTGCTCGAATACGAAACACGATCAGGACGGACTCAACCACTCAAAACTAGTATAGGCCATGACTACCCACATAAAGTACATAAAACTTATTCCCGATTAGCCGCCAGTAGTAATAACAACATAGCGTCACTTCCCTCCGATGCCTTTCACCAGAAGGGGCTCCACAAGATATGTAACTTTGTCACTACATATGAAAGTGACATGCCGAGGCGGGAGAGACTCTTCGGCAGCTTTGTGTGTATGAACTCCATCATCGTCACTACACCGACAAATAGCCTTGCCAACACACACTGTGGGATAAGCCAGGGAACATATGTTATGTGACCTTCGTGACGAGTTCTCTCCATGAATACTGAGATGGCCATCGACATGGTGTGTCAAACAACAAGTTTGCGTCGATCCTCTTCTTTAGTGTGAGGCCTCTCAGGTTGCCAGTGATATAGGCTCAGTTCTTTTGTCAGAATCTAGGGATTCTCCCAGAATCAGCTTCTTCCAGAATCTTTGAGTCTCATTTGTTTTACAACCCTATTTAGTTAGGGGGAGCGGGGAAGGGATCAGGCTAGGGTTCGGTGGTGTGGGTGGATAAGGGGGTGGGGTGGGCCGGCCAGGTGGCCTGGTGGCCCAGTTGAGCTGAATGGCCCATGGGTGGGTTCTGTTTTTATTTATTTATATGTATTTTCTTTTATTTATTTTTCCTCTTATGGTTTTATTAGTTTCTAGTAGTATTTAGTTATACAAAAATATAAAACTAACTCCAAAATTAATATTAAAATTTAGTCCACTACTTCAAAAAGTTTGGTGCAATAATAAAATACTTTGTATATTTTTTATTATATAAAAGGTATTTAATTATTTGTTTTAGCCACTGTTTTATTTATCCTAGTGCATTGAAATATTTTATAAAAGTGTGGTTCCTCCACCATTATTACTTATGAATTATTAGTCACATCCAGACCATTTTATTTTTAATACTTGAAAACTTCTATTGTTTGACTTGATTTTGAATTTGAATTTGAACGAATTTGAATCATCACAAGATTAACAATAGTAAGCGTGGTGACATGGCATCATTAATAGAGGGTTATTGTAGCCCAAATATCCGGACGTTACAAGGAATCTCCATGATTGACCTGCTAGCTCAAAAAAGAGTGGATAGCTGCCCCGAGTCCAACCTCTTCGCCGCCCGCACGGTTTGCCTGTTCCTCCGCCATGTGCGCGAACAGGACCCCCCCTCGGGCGCGAGCAACAACTGGCTTGGCTGCTTTCACCCCGCCTCCAACAGCAGTGGCTCCGCCCGGGATGCCCGCTCTAACCGCATGACAGGACGAGCGTCGCAGTGAAGGCGACACCCTCCTCTCTCCTAGTCGCAGGGGTCCGCCGGTCAGGACGAGCCCTGCGGGGAAGGCAACACCCTCTACTTTCCCGGGCCCGGAGGTCTGCTGGTCGGGAGCACCGTGGGGAAGGAGACACCCTCAAAGGAGACTGTTGGTGCTGCGAGCTCCCTATCCATGTCCATGGAGGATCCAGCCGGGTCGGGCACAAGCAGGAGGTCGATCGGGACAAAAGGTCCTGATTACATTTTTTATTTTGCTCGTAGGGGGTTCCTATGCCATTTTGCCGATAATTTATACATGACCCGTTCTGCCGACACACATACCCATATGGTAAAAGCTCCTAAAAATGTTTTGTGATATACCCTAAAATGATTTTATAGTATGAGTTTTTAGGGCATTTTCTAGAGTTGCTTTTAGTGTGTCCAGAGTCCGGACTCCCACAAAACTCTCATAGGTTTGTTGTTGGCTTGAGTAAAGCCGGACGTCCAGACCGCCTGGATGACTATACGCGGAAATTTGATGATCGTCATTAAATGGCAAAAGATGTCCGAACTGTCTAATCCAAATATTTTGGGATGGTTTAAGGATCCGCATTGGACTTGAGCTTAAAATTGTCAAGGGAGAAGAACACGTTTTTTTTTGAGAAACCGAGGGAGAAGAACACGTATGTCTCAGAGTGTGTTTGGTTCAGGGGCCCATTCTCAGGCTCCATTCAGGGGCCCAGCGGAGGGCCACAGCCACAGCCCACTCGCTACCGCAACCAATCAGGGCGCAGGAACCACCACGCCGCGGATCGCCCCCCACGATCCGCGTGCCTCACGCGAGGCCATATCCTCACCGTCCACTCCTACCGAATCCAACGATCCAAACCCACCTCCCTTCCCAAAACCAACACCCACCCGCCCCCGAAATCCAAAATCTTTGCAGCCTCGCGCCCACCTGCCGTCTATTAAATCCTCCCGACTCCCCGTCTTCCTCCTCACTCCAATCCCATCCATTTCCAGATCCCCCAAGAGCTCCCTCTCCCCCACCCATCCCAGCTTCCCTTCCCGATGGCCCGCACGAAGCAGACGGCGAGGAAGTCCACCGGCGGCAAGGCGCCGCGGAAGCAGCTGGCGACCAAGGCTGCGCGCAAGTCCGCCCCGGCCACCGGCGGCGTGAAGAAGCCCCACCGCTTCCGCCCCGGCACCGTCGCGCTCCGGGAGATTCGCAAGTACCAGAAGAGCACCGAGCTGCTCATCCGCAAGCTCCCCTTCCAGCGCCTGGTGAGGGAGATCGCGCAGGACTTCAAGACCGACCTCCGCTTCCAGAGCTCCGCCGTCTCCGCGCTGCAGGAGGCTGCCGAGGCCTACCTCGTCGGGCTCTTCGAGGACACCAACCTCTGCGCCATCCACGCCAAGCGCGTCACCATCATGCCCAAGGACATCCAGCTCGCCCGCCGCATCCGTGGCGAGAGGGCCTAGAGCGCATCGAGCTTCGTCGGAGGTGTAAAGATGCTAGCTTCTGAACCCGTGTTGCGTGGTGGAAATCTGGTGTCGTGGTAGTAGGGTTCCTCGTTCGCGCTATCGTGGCTGTGTTATGTTCCTGTGCTGTGCCTGATGTAACCATCTTGTTACCATCAGCAATGAAAAGTTGGCCTATCTGTTCTTAATTGTTTGCTCTGTGCAACAAATTGATATTACTGATATTTTGGATTGTCTTATCTGGAAGCCCCAAACCAATTACATGACACCTCTAGAGGTAGTGGTATTTAGTACTGTGATATTTAGCAGACGTATGAATTGCCTGTCACGATTCTGTCAACCTGGAACTCTGAATGCTTTTGCCATCCAATCTCAGCCCATTTTCTTGTCCCCAACAAATAAAAGTAGATCATAACTCAAATTTTCCCGATTGGAAACTGATTGTAATTTGAATACGGCATATATCTATCATCTATTTTGGAACGGAGTATTTGCTACTATTGTGATTGATGCGAAATCCATTATGTATTTGCTACCACTATGAACTGATGTGAAATCCCCCAATATTCAGTCGAAACTAGTTCAACCTGAGCATTTGTACAGGCATTAACTTGTACAAGCATCAGATGTACGATATTTCTAAATCTCTTCTCAAACAAATATTGCATGAAAATAGCATGATGTTGCTGCTGTAGCAATCTGAGATAGATGTGATGTTTGCAGCTAGTTTAAACTGTAACCATTGTTTCATGATAGGGAATTTAATAGAAGACAACACATGGGGAAAAGGATGAAGGAGAGCAGGCGGCCCCGCGGCGATTCCGCGGCAGCTGCGAGTGAATCCGCGGCAACAACGAGCGACTCCGAGGTGACTGCGAGCGACTCCCCGGCGACGACGAGCGCTCCCGCGGTGACTCTGGGCGGTGCGTTTGGTCCCCACCCCGCCGCCGCAGCGGGCTCTCGTCTTCGGGAGATTCGTGAGGACTCTGGCGATGGGTTCCCCGCCGACGAGGTGATTCCAGTGGAGGAGGGATCCGCGGAGGATAGAAGATGGCCGGCCCTCTACATCTTCGATCTCCTCGCGGCTGGACTCCTGCGCTATCGAGAGGTTCCCTTCTCGTTCAAGGTACGATTCGCAGATTGCTGTTACTGGATGAGGCGGGATGGATGGTGGACAACAGAGGTATACGAGACGGTGAGCGAATTTCATGGCATTCGAAGATTTTGTTCCCGTGTCACGTTGTACATGTTGGGTACACGATCGAGTGTGAGGTCAGGGGGCGTGGGGGGAAGCCGAGGCGAACGACCGCCATGAATGCGCGCGGGAGGAGGACAATAAGTCCCCCCCCCCTCCCCCGCTCGGTGGTAGGACGACGCATCTCACTTCG